CTAGCACACAAAAAATGGTCCATTCGGCCGCTACACAAACGGACACGACCAGCTCCATCTGGACTGACCTGGGTAGCGCGATAGATCCAGCCAGGGCATGGCCGACTGGGACCGCACCAGATTGCGCTTCTTGATGGGCAGCAGTTTCGAGTGGAACTCGGAGACCAGGCTGCGCTCGGCGTCATTCTCGTCGAACGCCTCCTCAAACTCCCGGTCCGGCTCATCCGAGGTCTTCTTCACGGACAGGTCCAGAGGCTCGTCGGCGTCAATCGACTCCTCCTTGATGTTGAGACGCTTGTTCTTCATGGCTGGTGTTTTGGACACCTGATCCGCTCGCGCTCACCGAGTGTCACCCTGCGGTCCGGTCCGCTCAGCGCACCACAGTCTGTCCAGCGCCGCACGGTACTCACGAACCTCCGCTAGACGAGGCCCATCGGCGCGTGAGCCAGCCCGCCGCAGCCGTACCGCCGGTGGCAGGAGCACGCCGTCGCCCGTCGCGTACGACGCTGCTCCGTGCACGTCCGTCGGACGCCGCCGGTCACCGCCAACTGGCCGTGCCGCCGCCGCCGCGGCCGTCAGCTGATCGTCGCCGCCGCCAGAGGGCGCGCCGCTGACGTCGCTCCGAGTCGGCAGCGGCGGCGGCGCGGCCGGGGCTCGCCGGCTGCCGACGTCAAGGTCTTGTGTCGACAGGGTGCAGCCGGTCAACGGCACCGGGCCGCCCCGTTGGCCAACTGTGCCGCTCACCTTGGTCGAAACGACGCACCTTTCCCGCTGCCCGTGATTGTAACGGTACGACGCGCATCGGGTGTTGTCGGTGATCGGGAGCGAATCACCCGCCAGGGTCGGCCCCGAGTGAGGAGACGGCCCGGGGCGAGTCCGACCTTCCTAGGCTCGTGTAGTGTTGCCTATTGCCCAAACAGGGTTCATCTCATCTGCCATGAGATTATTGCAGTTTAAACGGCATGTCGTAAGGTTGTATAGGCGGTCTTACCCAGAGAAGCTCTCATGCAAATCATGGGCATCCAAGGTCTGTCTTTCGGCTGTGATGATCTACAGTTTTGAATAATGATCACTGGCGAATTTACTCCCACATATACACCCCATCCCCCAGCAGGCAAACATCCAATGTGCCAGCGACATTCCCATAATCTGTGATCCGCACACGGGCTATTTAGGGCGCTTGCTATGTACTTATTGCGATGCATTGAGTGGCACTGTCATTATGTTTCGTTTATAAGGTTGGTGTGAGCTGCAGGTATAGTTTTGGATAGTCTTCAAAACATCCATATACCTAGCCCAATCGTGCCTGTGCGTGCTTAGCGCATCTTTAATTGAATCACAAACGCAGGAAAGTAATGTGCCTGTATGATTAACACGGACATCCTTATTCGTTCGTGAGTCGTTTTGGCATCGGCAGTGTCATCAAGCATAATGTAATGTGGCATATATTGCACGTACTTTGCAGCTCACGACATTTCATGAACACGCGTTATTAAAAAGTTCCGTTTGCAACTTGGCTTGCAACGCGCTAGCAACAAGTTATTCTGTCACAATCAGTCCAGTTTCTTTTCACTGCGAATTTTTGTTCATGCGTCTTGCTCCACCGTGTCAGTCGCTGTGCGGAAAACGCGCACACCTCTCCGCTATCGGATTGGTTCGGACTATATGTCCGGCAGCGAAAGTCATCCCGCATGCGATTCAACCGGTCGCCGGCTGCAAATGTGCGTGTAGGCTGCGTAAAGAGCGCGCGAACGAACCGGAATCCCTGCAAGCTCACGCAGCGAAAGTGAATGAATGTAAGATTTCCGCAAATGGAAATAGCTAAAAGCGGTATGCCTACCTAGCTGGCTGTTGGTTGGCGACCATTCAGAGTTTCCCCTTATGAAGTAATAAGCGAATCGTGAGCGATTACATTAACTTTCTTTCTGTCGAGTTATTGGACTGAGAAAGCTGATAGCCTCATCTTTGTCTTTTGGATAACCTAGATGATGTCATAGTGATATTACCTACGTTACGTGAAATACTTTTTACCATTATGATTTACGAAATGGTATACGACTTAGTCATAAACCAATTTCTTCATCTGTCAAAACATGTTAACACCAAAGCCATAACACATTTACACTTCGTGCACATGAACATTGGACATGGTTGTGCACAATTTTATGTCACAGCCCGTTACCGCGGGCGCACGGGCGGTTTTTGGACCGTGATACGCCGGATTGCCAGCCCTACACCATAAACGAGCCGTCCGCACAGGTGTTGCCCGAACATGCCGTAACTGTGGCACGTTCCCAATCTGCGCAATCAGCGCCGGCTGTTGCATAAACGGGTCTCCACGGCCGCCACCGGCCGATGGACGGACGATACGCGGCGCGTGCACCATCGGCGTGAGGAGCGACAGTGGAGGAGCCCCGCGTCCAGACGCGTAATGCACGCACCTATTCCCGGGGGGCGCAATAGACTGAAGACGCCCAAGAACATGGCAGCGTGATGGTATTCCCCAGCAGTTTTTTTTTGTGTGTGTTACGAGCAGTAAAATACAGAGTGGGTACCGCTAGCACTTAGCATGTAATCCTAAGTGTCGGAAGCTTCCTGACGTCTTTTTCGGCAATGCTATTGATGTTGAAAATGCAAGTAGTGTGTTAAAATGAAAAAAAAATATTCAGCACATTTAGCTCAGTGCATAAAAGTGTGCTTCATTACACTCATTCATCGAAAACGGTTCCTGGTAAATTTTGCATTAAATTCAAAGTGCAGATCTCATGCCTATTCGGACTATACCCAATTTTTGTGACTCCAGCTTCAGCGGTTCCTCAACTCTTCACAGCTTTAATACCATTTAGAATCTTTCGTCACTGTTTAAAAATACTGAAACCGCCTTTATCCATAAAAGCAAACCACTCGACCACGTCACCTAATCTCTTCAGGTCACCCTGCCCCAGAGGAGGGGGGGAGGGCCTCTGACCTCACTCGGCCAGCGAACCCGCCTCCAAGGCCGCTCACAGCGTCTCGGCCCATGCACTCTTTACACGACACGCCAGGTAAGAGTGTATGGACGATCTGTGCCAAGGCTGCGACCACAGCGGCTCGCCGGGGCGGCTCCGGCTTCAGACGCGTGCTCCAAGCGGGGCCGGCTTTGAGCGCGGCGGATCGGCGCCGCCCCATTGCCCAACGGGACGACGCGATGCGGTTGACCTGCCCCGAGAGCCAGGAGAACGCGCGAGGGGGAGCGTCTGAGATGCACAATACACGGCGCGGTTACAACATCTTCCCGGCCCGGTTTGGAAGCGCACGTCTACTGGTGGAGAGAATTGGGCTGTCGGAAGATTGGGGCCGACTGGAAGGAGCGGCGCGGCGCGGCGCGGCGGGAGGGGGAGGATAGAATGGGTGGAACGCGAACGGATACGCCCGCTCCACGAGGGCGGATGTCTGGGATAGATATATGGGGCACTGTAACTGGGTAGGGCAGTGGGTGATTGATGTGTCTGAAAGGAAATTAGGAGAACAGAGTGGTCAGGAAACGGTCACCACATGAAACCGAAACCAAGGTCACCATGAGAAAAAAGACAGGAAGACGGTTGCCCATCTCTTTAGGTATGGATATGCTCGGTTCGGAGCCGTAACTGCAGTAACCATTCGTTTTTTTTTTACCAACGAGTGCATTACTTATCTTAAAAATATTCTGATATGATTCTGAGTAAAAATAAATCATCTTTCCTCTCTAAAGTAACAAGGGTTTGAACTTAAAATCAAGTATTTCAGATGTTTTCGAGCCAGTATGGTCATCAGGTTAGGCCAGAGAGATGCGGTGACAAGCCGCCGTACCAGTCGGCGGAGTCATGTCTACGAAGGTCAGTACCCGGTCCGCCGGGTCGGCCGGCGCCCGATTCGGCTCCGGCAGCCGCGGATTTCGGTGACCGCAGGACCGGCCTGTCTAGCTACTCTGCCGGCTGCAGAGGCGACTGCGCAATCGTCAACATTGCACAGATCACACCGCACCTATGTCTCAATTAAGCCGCATTGGCTTTCGGTGACTCTGGAAAACTCCGCAATCGAATTCCATGCTCCAATTGAATTCCATTTACGGCAGGTTCTGCCCTGAGCGGCGGCAAGGTGTTTCGATTTATCTCTCGCTGCACACTGCACATCCGTTCGGCGGCCGGCTGGTGTCACAGGTGCCGCTCGCCCCGGTCTATTTTCACGGGCCGGTCACATTTCTGAGGCGCCCACGGCCTCTGTATTCGCTGCGGGGCTCGCTCCCAGTGAGAATGACCTGCTATATTTACCCGGCCGACTGTGCTCCGGTGCCGAATTAGCCACCGCTCGATACTCCACGAGCTCGCCGTACCCCCGGTGACGTCACCACTGCCAGCCATGACGTCACGTCGGACAGAGTTGTAACGGCAGCGGCGGCAGTTCGAAAGCCATGGGAATCGTCGGAAGCGACGGAGCGCGGGTCATCGCAAACGACGCGAGTCGACAGGAACGGCGCTTGACGTCACGAGAGCCCGGTGATCTTTGTGGTGACTGAGGAGCGCCGGAAGCTCGTCCATCAGCAGCTTGCGCGGCCGGTGGGGCTGAGGTTCAGCCCCGACACTACACCGGAGTCCGGACTACAGCCGGATTAGCGGTCACGGGCGCGGCGGACCAGTCACGGCCTCACGGACTGTTCACGGCTCAGACGGCCGAGCGTGGGTGGCCTGTCGGCGGGACGACACAGCAGCTACATGTCCTGATGGCTCGCCAAACGACGTGGATTTCCGGCGACGGGTTGGCCTGGTTTGGGCCCATCCAGGACTCATCCAGGGCACTGACAGACGACATTGAGCGGGTTGAGTGTGACAGAGGGCCCATCCACGGTAATTCCTTGGGATGAGTCGGCCTTACAGGCGAAATCCGACCAAGAAGTCATCTGGTGTAGCTCGGCGACAAAGGATAGAATGCAGGCACTACACTACATACAAACTATGAAGTGAAGCGGTTTTAATTGTACTCACCACTGTTTCCGCCGCCGCCGCTGCCACCATTCGAACACATAAAATCGGCCAGGTCCGCGTCATCTGAAGCAAAAGAGAGACGTCGTTAATGACGAGCGATTGCAATCGTACGAGGATGGGCACCGGAATGTTGACATTCATTAGACATCTGCTTATGCATCCATGTGCTTGGTTAAATATGTTTGTGTCCCTACATACCTATGTCTTCAGACTTTCAAGTCTTACAAATGGGATACACCTATTTACCTGTCTAAAAACAAGCAACAATCACATTTAAAACTGCCGCTGAAGAAGGCCCAGATCCAAATCCCTCTATTCATCGCTTTAAAGGTAGTGTGCCAGCTTTCTTGGACCATATGGAGTTAATGACCCGGATAAGGAGAACCGGATTTTTAGAACTTATCCATACCTTCAAAACTTATGGAAACGTCTTAAATTCTTCAAATTTTGAGTACCCCAGTGCGAAATTCGCCCCGACGGGTTGTCGGTCGTACCCCAACCACATTTCACACCACTATGAACAATAAATGCACACACTAAAATCGCTATTACCGATAGGCTCATCCAATCAAGTTTCGATAAACCCGTTCATCATCATCTCCTGCGGTTTCGAACACGCCTGTTAGGTGGCTTCTGATGCTCGTCGAGGTCGGAATTTCCAAATACGCGTGGTGCGTCGGGCCGCGCGCTCTGACTTCGGCCAAGAAAAAATGCGTCAGCTGATCATTGTCATTTCTGCCACTTGCGTGTGGTGTAATGGGGTCATAACTTAAGAGACGGCTGTTTCATATCAATTATTTTACATAAAATCATATTTCAAACCACAAATTAATGTTCGACAGCCAAATTTAAGAAACAATACCAATACAGGCTTACAGTTTAAGGCTCGACATTGTGTTGTCTACGATTAGACAGCTGATAACTCATTCCCGTACGTCGTTTGGTCGTAACACTATAATGACCTTTGCTTATTGTCACAAGTGCGCCGCATTCGCGATTGTTGCCCGACGCCTGTTTGCAGGTGAGCCCACTACAGTTGTTATACATATCTAAAAACCGATAAACTTTTAGGCGAAAAAGGCACTATTCCAGGCCCATTTTTGATTTTTTTGCGATATTAGGTAAAAACAGAAGCTTCTTATCCTGGGAAAAATAAAACGGGAAATCTTTCAAAGGTGGCACACTACCTTTAATCCACAAATCCAAACCCCAGTGGTGTTTACATTTTCACAGTGCGACCTGTCGCACGCGTGGACACCTGTCACCAGCTGTGAAATCGCCCACAATAGCTCCGTTCGGCCGGCGTTCTGTCCTCGGAGACCACACCTGTCCTGGGCCCTGACTAGCGGACCACCAAACGGTGCGATAGTCCAGCGAACACACGGTCCAACCTGTCGCGTCCACCCCTCGCGGAAGGGGAGCGAGGAGTGCTCCCTAATTCCCCTCCCCCGCCGTCGTCCGGTCTGTTTTCGTAGGGGAGCACCCCAGACGCTGACCGATTCGGGGCGGGGAGTCCGACCTGGAATTCCTTTCACCGGTAGTATATCGAGGCGGGGGGGGGGGATCGTGGGGCGATCTACGAGGACCAGACTCGCAAAAACAGACCCTTCCCGGCTGTGGGGGCTGTCCGGAGGGGCGCTCATGGCATTGCGAACCCACTACCGTTACAGACGAGGGCCACTGCCCAATCTCAGCAGCCAGCGCGGCACGGCTGCCGCGGCGCCGGTGTGTCGAAACTGGCGCTGTTTCCGCGCCACCTTTGCCGCACTCTGCGTCCAAGGTCTTCTGTGGCAACCTGGGCTCTGGAGCGGCGGGACGGGACCTGACACGGTACAGGCCGGCTCGCATGGCGCGGAATTAGGAAACACACCGCGGACCGGGCCACGGCGGCGGGAGGGGGGGGGGGGTGTCTCGGGAGGGAGGGGGCGAGGCCCGGAGAAGGCAGGTCGTGACGGTGTCTGTCGCAGCGCTCCTGGAGCCGTGGTCACGGGCCAGCGGCCACGCCGCGCCTCACGGACGGTGAACAAAAGACAGTGGCGAGTCATCGCCGTCACCGTGAGCAATAGCCGCATCCAGAAGGTCAGGTACTGCGACCTCGCGCTGCATCATACGGCTTGAAAGGGAGGTGTGTGGAGAGCGCAACAGGTAGAGTGGATCACTGGACACTGGACAAGGGGCGGGTGGTGTCATGACTGTCCTGACCAAGGTTGATGATTCGATGTCTCCCGTACGCGAAACGAACAATATCGACAAACCATTCAAATATTATTGCATCTTGAATCCAATCCAGGATTATTATAAATATTTTTTGTGCATGAAGAAAAGGATGCACATGAAACAAATGACAGTTATATGAATTTTCAGTAATATTTGAGTCCATTCAGTTTCGGTCAAGTTAGTCCATCTTGACACCGTTCCTAAACAAGTTTCATATCTTTTGTGTTACATTGAAGGTATTACTTCACAATACAACTAGCTGAACTTTTCCTGTTAATTAGTCCCTTTTATATTTGAAGATATGCGATTTTGGCCTAATCTAGACACATGATGGTTGGAAATTAAACTCCTTTTGCCGTATCATCCTTTTCCTAACATTGTATAACAATGACCGGCCTGGCTCCCTGCGGGGGCTCATAAACGTCAGCATCTGGCGCAATCATGCGTCGAGTGCCGAAATCGCACAGGTCGTTTTCCGCCACGGTGTTTGGCCGTCAGTGAACAGGCCCAAACGGCGGCATTGTGTCACGCATTCCTCTTGCAACAGCAGCTGCCACAATAGCCGGGGCCGACGTGGCGACACGGCGACAGACAAAGTCTCGGGTCGACTGGTTACCGTGCTACTCAGGATCACGCACCGTATCACTGAGTCTGCCCCCGTGTGCCGCACCACACACCTGATTTCAGACACCGTAACTCATCCTCCACGACACGCATTTCATATCTCCAGCTGATTTGATGATTTGGGTCGTGGTTCGAGCAGGAGACGGAGACTTCCCTCTCTACCTCGTTGAGGGGGGGGGGGGGGGGAGTTTCGATACGCGGCCACGCATAGCTGGAGGTTCGCCAGCAGGTAGTAGGCTACTGGGGGGGGGGGGAGACGGGGGGGGGGCACGCACCACGCACCGCCTGGCAGGTCGCCATTGGCTATCGTCGTTTCCAGGTCATCGGCAGGTCAGACGGACGCTCCTGTCAGCTCTCATGTGCCGGAGGAGCGTCCGCGGCGTGCGCCAACTCCAGTCGGTCTGTGTGGAACTGCGGTATAACCACCTGCTCCCCGTCTGTTCGCTGATGGATCGCCGCACAGAAGAAGTAGTCAGGGACATGGAGGGAGAGTAGGTCGTCCCAGAGCGAACTGGAAGCACCGAGGAGGCTGGCAAAGGAAGGGCAGGTTGATCAAGAGTTTATCAGGCGGAGTGAATCGCCTCCCACCCACGCCAGAGGCGCGGCGCGCCCTCCGAGATGTGTCGTTTGCACAACCTTTCTGCCGTCCGCCGGAGCCCACAGACTGTTACGGGCAGTCGACGCGTTACCCAAGTGTGCCACGGTGGGGGAACCACGGCCTGTTGCTCCACAGTCAGACACGGAGGCGGCCGGCCGCCCTATCAGGCCATGGTGGGACACGGTACAGGTGGAGACCTATAGGGACGGGACCAACCGTACTCCGGGACGGAACAGAATCCGGCATGTGCTGTCTTTACTCGTGTGTGGCTGCGTCGAAAAGCTTAGAAACAGCAAACCTGCAGTGCATCTTTGTTATAAAAGCTTAATATGCTCTACACAAAAAAAACTTGTAATATATGCGGCACGTGTTAAAACAGCATACAATTGCAAGATGCAAAATGTCTATAAAATGGATGATGATAGCCATTGGCGATATATGTTGAACAGTAAATAGCTCGCATCTATGCCACGCAATGGTTCCTGTCTCATAAAGGTGTTTATTTTACCTTATTACATGCGATTTCTGTGTTACTATCACACGGGATTTACATGAAAAACCGTCACTCATCCATTATGAGGCTCACTTTTTAGCGTAAGGCCATAACAATAGAGCATTTGTGATTTCAACGACAATGTGCATGTCACGCCATCAAAAGACGAGCCGCATGTCGGACAAACATCGGCATCCTTAATTAGACCACGCGATGGCTACCTAAATATGTGACTAATAGCAGCATCGAGCATGCAACCCAATTAGGGCAATTCAGCCTCCTGTCTCTTTCGAAAAGCGCCCGAAGGACGAGACCGTTTATCGTTGCGTCAAAAAAGCAGAGCGCGGCTGGTGCAGTTGATTCTCATGGTGCAACGTTGCACATCGGGTCTAACATTAGCCGCTAGGTATGAGCTCCAGACGTTGGCTGGGGGACCGGTAGGAGCGGTCGGGCATTATGTTCGGAGGGGGTGGGTTGATGTCGAGGGGCGGTGGTTGGAGGGCCCCTAGCGGTAGGAGGTGACGATTCGTCTCCGTTCATCCCACTCCTGTGCCGCCGGCCTGGGTCACAGTGTTGGGACACGCTGGTCAGCCGCCGAGGTACCGCGCTGCTCTGTCACGCTACCCACGGCCCCGACTCCGGGCCAGCCCCCGCTGTAACAGGCCCTACTCACACAGCCGCTGAGGATCTGTGGCGCAACGAGGCATCTCTGAGTGAACGACACCATTATTCAGCCACAGAACAGACGGAGGATCATAGTCCCGTATCGGGAGTACCATGTCCAGAAATTGTTTCACAAGAATAAATGACAATCCTCAATTACATACCAGTTACCAATATGGAGAAAGATATCGTTCTCGTCATTAGCAAAAAGATGAACAATGATGGTCTGGATTTGATTTCTTTCATCAATATGGGAAAGCGTAGACAAGACAAGGTTTAAAATCTTGATAGACCCAATCGAGTATTATTGCCTCACAGCGGGCTACCTGCCTCCATATTTGGCAATATCACCGCCGCTCCACCGAGCAGAACCGGCGGGTAGCGGCCGCCGGTTCAGACGTCCGTCCGACCAGCTGACCCGCGCCCGACCCCCCAGCACCCTGCCGGGTCGCTCCGCTGCAGGCGAAC